TAATAATATAGATAGTGTATATTGTCGTAAGAAATAAAACTTATATAGAAAAAAAAATCCTGTTTCGGGTGTAATGCTGTCGTCTGACATTAAAGAAAAACACGAGACTTAGTTTCTCATAAATAACATTGCATTCTTTCCAACAGTGAAATTCTTCACTTGTTATCGGCCAGTGACAGCGTTTGTGTGACCTCGGGGTCATCTCCAGACGTGAATCTTACATTCTCCTACCGATGAAATAGACACAGTTTGCCTTCAATTTCCAATTTCTGTCACAGTTACCTCCAACAAATCCTGTGAGTGTTAAATTATCTATGCCTTCCTTCCTCATTATATGACCTCAAATTTCAGCTCTCAGTCTATGATTGTAAATATAAGTATAAATATGTGTAAATATCTGTAAAAGTGTAAATATAAGTGTAAATATATTTTGCCTATTCGTTTACATTTTCCGTATTGAAATGTACCTAAGATTGTGTAATTGAAAATATAAGGCTAAAAATGTGTCAACTTCGTAGCAGAGCTTCATTTCTCACCACGCCATAATTATGGGAAAACATGTAAGGATTCGGGTTCACTCACTGTCGTATTTTTCCCTGAGACTTGCTTACTAAGTTTTATCTCATAACGAGTTTTAGATCAAAGCTACGAGTATAGGGCACCAACTGAAGATCGAAACCAGATTTAATAATAATAGTTAAGCAATCGTTACTTCACACACATATACCCGATACTATTTACTAAACATAGTTGGCATAAGGCTATAAGTATATAGTACCCAGTGAGCACTGAACTCACTATTCAGTACTTACGATCAACCAAAGTAGTTCATTATACATTAGTGTAAAATAAGTACACATTAAGCCTACTGGAGATTTTGTTCAAGCTCTGGTAAAATTCAAAAATTTAAATGATGACAGGTTATCTCTACCCATTTGGAAGTTTTTCGTAACAATTCTTCGTACCTCTATTTGACTTTATTTTTCATAGACTATTTGATTCGTAGGGAAATTTCTAGCAAAGAAAAATTCAGCACCAGAAATATTTTGCATTAACTTATTATATTTATTTCGTATCATTTACGGTATAGAATATTTACTGAAATAAGAAAGTATTCTTGTTTGGCTGAGAAATAGTGGCTGTTGGACATTTATGTCTGCATATGTGCAATAAGTTAAAAGTCAGTATATAAATACATAGAGAGATAACCTCCTATACAGCAATCGTATCTTAGTGCTTTCGTTTTTCTCTGGTAGCGCTCAAAAGTCTCACGTCCATTTTTAAAAACATTACTGACAATTTATTTAATTTTCCTTAATCTTTTCTCAACAGACGGAAATTAATTTACTCTTTTGAGTGCCAATGTTACCCAACATTAAATTAAGATATGAACGAAATCAATTTTATATCAAGCAGTTATTCGGGCACTTTGACGTGGAGTAATTGTTAGCAAGCTTATCGCTCTAGATCCATTAAGACTGAGTTCGACCCTCACTGAATGCTCCATACTTTCGACATTTTGTCACCATTAAACTGCGCTTAGTAAATGACGGGGTAACTAAACGTAGTGTAATAGTTAGCAAACTTGTCTCACCAGATCAACTGGGAGTTCGATCCTCACTGAGCTCTCCAGACTTTCGTCCATGAGCCATATCTAAGCCAGGCTTAATAAATCGCTATATAAAGGAATTGCTTGTACTCTTCAACATCGTATAATGGTTCTTGTCTCGCTACATCAGTTACAAGTAAGTTCGATCTGCATCGGACGGTCCGTACTTTCGATCTTGAGCTATGCTATAATAAACAATTGTTTCGTTTGAAGTTCTGGTTAGCAAGGAACGGGCTGCGATGGGTAAATTGTCATCATGTTGTATTTTAATTTCGCGCATGCGCGTTCTTCGTTTTTGATTTGGTCAACTGGAGAGTATAATAAGGTCAGTTGGGCACTGACCATGATAAAGAAAAGAGAACAATGATGTAATTTACTCCGCCAGAAAATTTAGTAACATCATGTGTACTGCTTGGCATTCGCACCGGAACCACCAGTAGAAATATTTCAGAGTGTTTAGGTGTAAATCTGAGGACAGAGCAAAGAATTCGGAAAGAATTGAATGATTCTGAAGGTAATTACGAAGGTACGACAGATATGAAAATTCACTCTGGTCGTTCTGATAAGAAAAGAACTCCCGAATTTGTCGATGAGGGACTCAACACGGAGGTCTACATCACGTGCCTTGAGGAAGTAGTTCTGCCCTGGATCAAAAAGAGTGACTGCTGGATGACTCTATGTCTGGAAACAGGAATCTGCACTATGCCACACGAGCAGGAAAACCCAGTTATGACAAGCAATTTCTATGACCACATTAACCTTATATCTTACCATATAACTCCCCACACTGTAAACTTCTTGATTGTTACGCGTGAGGCACAGTTGGGCGAGGGGGCAACGAAAGGCAAGCATTCACCATCTTAAACAAGGAGACCGTCCAGAAGAGATGCAGGAGATTCTGTAGTCTTCTAGAAGCGTGGTTGGAGCCAATGGCGATTTTATTGAATAAATTTACTCTTTCGTATTTCAAGATATTTTTGTGTAATTTTGGTAATATATATCAGTGTTATTTACATTTTTGCGTAATTTAGACGACAATTTATGCATCTCACTCTGTATATATCTTTTAATTGTTTTTTTTTTTGTTGTTGTTGTTGTTTTTTTTCAGACAGAGCACAAAATTAACGATGGATGACTGGTCCTCGGGATACCAACTTTGCGGCAGTTATTACCTCGGTGCAACAAAGAAAGATGGTTGTTGGGTGAATGTCGACGCTATGTTGATGTTGATGGGACCGGGCAGTTTTTGACCTTAGTGCAGGTGCATGCTCTTGATCTGCTTACTTTAAACCGGTCTTGTACCAGTCCATCTACTCTGATGTGGGGGAATTAAATGCCTAATTTTATTATAAGTTTCTGTTTATTACCATTTGGCTGGCTAGTTTTATCTTATCGCTCTAATGTGTTTCTGTCTCCGGTCAGTTTACAATTAAAAAAAAAAATGCGGAGAATCTTGTCCCGGGGATCCCAACAATGTAAAAACATCTCCCTCACCAAAGAGTTTGGGAAGGTCGCTGGAATATCGACGCCAACGCAACAGTGACTACAGGGACTGAACAATTTTTGGTTTCGGTTCATGTGTACGTGCATGGGCATGTGCTATATCATGCCACTGGGAGTATGTGTGGCGAGGCGAGTAAATATATGATCTTGTTAGAAGTTGCGATGGCAAGAGAAGACAGAAAAGATAAATCATTGAGTTGAGCTAAATGAATGTACCTAAAATATCTTGAAAAAAATGTATTGATTATAACAATAATTTCTATACGCTTGAATAAAGAATAAAGAAATACAAATAATCAGCTGTACTTATAGAATTTTTTTTTAATTATTATTCTATGCGTTGCGTCCCTTCAGAATGTTTGCAGTCATAGTTCTCCATGTTGTTCTTTCCTTTTTAACTCTTAATAAATTTCGTCTTTTTGTTATCTCCACTAAATCTCGCTTCACCATTTATTCAAGCACGCTAGATAGGTTATGCGCTGTTTTTCTGTTCCCATTTAACTTTCAAACTGAGCTGTGAGTATCAAATTTTCCAAGCCTTATTTCCTCATTATGTGTCGCAGAAATTTCAACTGTCTCTTCTTGATGTTAAGTTTAATTTTCCTTTTCGTTTCCATTTTCTCTAAAGCTTCAAATTTACTCACATATTTGGTTCATGGTATTCTCAGCATTCTTGTTTAGAGCCACATTTCCGTTGTTTTAAGTCTCTTCTTCATATGTGAGATTGTCTACCACTGACTTCCATATTGAAGGACTGATATTAGTGTTCTGATGTTTTTATTTGTTTACGAAAAAATAGAGAAAATATGAAAATGCGTAAACGAAATTCTGATGGCGCATGGGAATACTGAAATAGACATTCCTGAAAATAAGTAAAGATGTTAGACAAAGGTGGTTAGAAAGAAAGAACAGATATTGAAATGTAATATTATATCTTTCTTCCTATACGGTAGTGAATGCTAAAAAATATCTTTGCAGATGAAGAAGAGATTCGAAGAAACAGAAATATCTTTATCAGTCCAGGTAAGTAACGAGTACAGTCTAAAGAAAATGAAGCAAACAGTTGAAATCCTGGGTGCACAATATGAGGAGGGGCAGCTTCGAAATATAACATTCACATGGCCTATTGTGACAAAGAGGACTCAAAAGAAACGTCTGATAAAGTATCTAATTAGTTTGTGTTAATGGATATCAGAAGAGGGACATGGATGTATGGTAAATAGAAACCTTGCTTAGAGCTACAATTAACAAGAACGTGTAGTGGGCTATAATCACCGGTGTCCTGAAGGGCAAAGACGCATAAACGATGATGATGAAAGCAGAATCAATGAATGATTTTTGGAATAGCTAAAGTTACCTAAAACTGTTGCAATTTTTGACAGTAGCTGAGAAAAAAATAGTCTTATTGGAGTGTGCGGAGGAGTCGCTTCTCTGCATCTAGTATTTTCAACACATTCTTCCTACAATTTGTAAACTTACAATATTAAAGAATACGGTCACAAAAACTGGTACATGAAATTCAAGATATAAGTCATTCCATAAGCATTTATTATGCTTAGCATAACACAGAGAAAATACGATCTAAGAAACGAGCCTTCTAAAAATTATGTTCTAGTTCCAAAGTATTTACAAAGTTTTGTTAGGTTCTTTCAAAAAAATCGAATTTATTATGCTGGAATTCGAAAATAGCTTGCTAAACTGCTCCTTTTTTTCTGCTTGGCTTCCACGCTTTTCTCTGGTGCCTTTAACGACCCTTTTGAAATATTTTTGTTTTTAATATTTCCTCTTCTTGGTCGGTCTAAAGGTTATCTTTGTCCTTAATTTTTGTTTGCATAGTTTGTAAAAAGACCGAAACCTTTCTGCCCTTTGCTCTGTTGGCGATTTTCTCATGAGGAAGCCTGAAGCCATTTCGAAGCGAGCTTCATATCTCAATTCCCAATACTTTTCTGGCCTCCCTTCTTTCAGTTGACTTTGGTCGCATACGACGTTTAATCCCTCTTGCCGCATTGTCCCTTCTGTGTGACGTATTACTACCATCTGTCGCAGCTAACAGGCCTCGTCACATCGGACGTCTGCTATCCATCTACTGGTGTGTCTTAAATATCATCAAACGAGGTTCAAACTGAACTCAATTTTCTTTTTCCGAGGGCATAAGTAACCCTTTTGATTGAACAAAAATTACGAGTGTAATATAATTTTCCGAATAATAGCCAACAGTTCACCACAGTTAATTCTGGTGATCCTTTTTAAAGCCAATTCTAACCAAAGAAAAATTACACACAAAGGAAACAATTTTTTAATACTCTTCTCCCAAAAGTAAATGCATAAGACTATTTAAGATTTATTTACTCACACTTTTTAATTAATTATTACTTTTTATTACTTTATACTATTAACTAAAAAAAAAATTATAAAATAGTTAAAAATGACTATGAGCAAATGAAACTTGTGGTTCTTAGCGAGGAACATCCTTCCTCGAATATTTGTGGACTGGCGGTATAGAACCACACCCAAAGTACCGTACCAAGTAACGGAAACCACATCACTTACGTTGTATTTTGGAGGAGCACTTTGAAGGAATGCGGCTAACGTTCGACTGTTAATTGAGGATGTTTAATTTGTATTAATGTTTCCAGGAAAGACACAAACTTGCAACGTTCTATACATTGTCCAGTTAGATCTCTTTTTATGTACAATAAAAAAGCAGTTAGTAGATTTCTTTACAAGACGGTCTTTTTACTGGCATGCCACAGAAAAATGTGTTCCCATTGGGTTAAACTAAACTTCCACAACTACCTGAGAAATGGAACATGTGCAACAGAAGCGGTTACATCTATAACATTAATACGAGTTATCAATTTTAACCTGAATTTACATACTAATTACTTTATCTATCTATCTATCTATCTATCTATCTATCTATCTATCTAAGTCTGTTCAGAACTATCGATCTATCTATTGATCTCAGTCTGTTCAGATCTATTAATCTATATATCTCCATCTGTTCAAATCTATCTATCTATCTATCTATCTATCTATCTATCTATCTATCTATCTAAGTCTGTTCAGAACTATCGATCTATCTATCGATCGCAGTTTGTTCAGATCTATTTATCTATCTATATATCTATATGTCTCCATCTGTTCAAATCTATCTATCTATCTATCTATCTATCTATCTATCTATCTATCTATGTGTTTATGTTTTTGTACACTTTATTATTTCAGTCACACACATACATACACATTTTTTTGTTTTTATTTGTTTGGCCTATTTATATTGTGTTTACATTCTAACACTGGTTTTGATTCTCGTGGCCGACAAATACAATGAAAAAAATGGAACACATTTCCTCTTTCGTCCATTCATTCATTCACACATTAGTTTTCCTGCGTAACCAAAATAGGAACCTGCATAGAATATATTCTGATTTCCTTCCTTCCTTTTCTATACTCCACAATCATTGGTCAATTATGAGGTCCACTCTGTCCGCCCATGATTCCCTTCATAAGTGGATATACGCATGACGATCGTCACAAGTGCCTTTTAGGCTTACAAGGTCGGCAGAGATTACTGTTCCTGGCGCCCGTCCGACTGAACTTAGCTGACCAAATTGTAACCTCTCATTTCACATTTAACTTTGAACTGTATTCTTTACCCCTTCCGCTTACACAATACGTGAAGTGTTTTACGCATATATATGAAAACACCATCAATATATACATATATGTGGGTGGGTATGTTTTGTCATGTAATTATCCATTTATATGTATATTTCTGTGTATATGCGTGTGCTTGTTTAAACAAGCATAGTCATTTTTACTGAGAAATATAAGGGTGCATTTACGTTTGCGTATATGTATATTGACGTGCGTTTTATGTATTCATGACAAATGAAGAGATTGACCTTTAACCCACACCTCTTTCCTTGTATTATTACAACAATTCTTGATATGACGCAATAATTCTTTTTTTCAATTTTGGATCCTGAAACAAAATGCCCATTTCCGAATTCAGTAATAAGTTTATGTAACAGAATATGAAACAAAAGTGCTATACACTCCCACAACATATTTCATATTATTTAACAGCAACAATAACAATCCTCTGTAGTAGTAGTAATAATAATAATAATAATAATAATAATAAATGTTAAAAGATTAACAATAACGATATTAACAAATGTCTTGATGCAACACCTGGCTTTTTGTCTTAATTGATTGGAGGTGTTAACATATTTTGTCTTGGTGTATTAACAAGCACTTCATGCATTGTAAAAATTACCGTTCAATACCAGAGATTTGCTTATCAATACCTTGATATTAACCGCCTTGATTTGGCCCCTAGTTTCTGATGCAATGTGCTATCCATGTTCTTGAGCGGAAGTAGTGTGACAGTATCATTGATGTGTGTAGAGATTTTTTTTTAAATCATAAGGCAGCCAGTGTAACTTAGAAGACACGACGAAATACTTGGTACCATTCTCGATCGGGAGCTGTCTGAGTGGACTAAACTACAAAACCTGAATTGTAAAAAGGCGTTTTCTTATAAATATAGATTCGGTATTCATCGATGGAGCAGACAGTCCTGCTATCGGTTAAAATTTTTAAAAACCTTCTCTCAAAACATCTTTCAAGAAAATAGGTAACTGTTATCGCTCTTTCCAGTATTGATATGGTATTCCTTCCTAATATCTTATTTGGAGTATTGTGGAATGGTAACATCTTGATTGTATGATTATTTTCTCTTCAAGTTACACGTACAAGCTATTTACTCTGTCTCCACACTAAGACGAGTTATGACACAAGGTCTTTCTTAAGGTGAGGGACAAAGTTAAACGTACTATCCATGTTAGTTTTTGTTGTTGATGATGATGTGTTTTTTCTTATTTGGTGCAATTTTTTTTTTTTTTTTTTTTTGCAATTATGTGGTGCCTGTTCACAAATGTTTGAAGAAGTATGAGTTTTTTTCATGTCCCACAGGTTTCATTCATTCATTGTCATTTTTCACCGTGGATTTCAGGAAGCAGTTGTATACAACTAACGGGTTTTGCGTCATACATAACATCCATATGAAAGTCTCAATCTGCCTAGGTTATCTAAGAACATTTCTGGCTGATGTTTTAACTTCGTAGGAATTTTTGATATTGAGAGAAACTACCTATGACTCAACATATTCCATGTTCAATTTTTTTCCTATACTTAAATTGTTATAATTTATCCATACGCTCGATATCTGAAGTGTTCTGTTTTTACTAATTAAACATCCTGAATTTTTAAGATTGATTCAGTGTACCACCACTTTGATTTCAGGTGTTTCATTCTGTCGCCGATCTGAAATGTTTTTCGATGTTTTTTTGCAAAACCAATCAGCACATCGCGTAATATATTTTCATGGTATGGTTTTATCAGTTTGGGTGTCATGATAGGTTTATTTGCCTTTGTATATTTATGTGTCATCGTCACTTTGTTAGCGTGTTGGTCTCACACCCAATAATAATAATAATAATAATAATAATAGTAATAATAATAATAATAATAACCACCCAAACATTGTTATTAAAGAACGCAAGCAAAAAAGCTGCCTCCTTATTCACATGGCAGTCTCTGCAGACTACAATGAATCTTGAAGATCTTCAAAAAGCTATCAAAATACACGGACCTTGAAATCGGAATCTCAAAAATGTGACACATGAGAACATCAACAATTCGTGGTGTAGTTGGAGCCCTCGAGTTGATTGAAAAAGATTCCAGTAGGTACAGTGAAAGGATTACTGACATATCATGCCTTAAAGAAATACAAAAAAATGTTCTCGCGAGTACAGCCGACACCTTACGAAGAGCTTAATCTAAAATATGTGTGATGTATTTTTTAAATTGCTCAGTGAAGAGTGACATGATGCCTTTTCTGACCTTAGATCTCTGGTCAAGACCCGGATAGAAATAAGTAAACAGCAGAAATCAAAGGAAATGAAATAATAATAACAATAATAAATCAATGTAGAAACAGAAATTACATGTATGTGGTATTTAAAAACAACTGAAATCCCAGTAAAAATAAGATCACTTTTAACGATTACAAAGAATAATGAACGATTATCATCATAGCTGATTCGAATTTAAGGCACAGTGCAATTTAGTTTGATTTTTCATTTCCACCATCTTTATGAATAACTGTTATCAGTCGCCTCCAAACAGCTGGATCTCGTGCTTACTCACGAAACTGCTGCAAGTTTCCTAAGACTTTCTAATCTTTTACGTGGAAATGATGGAATGATATTGATAATTATTTGATGACGTTGTTAAATATATATACCATGTTTTTTCGTTCAATATATGTGGATATTATTCTTCCATTTGGTGTTGATGTCAGAACCATTCCCATAAGATTTACTACCTGATTTCAAAGCACTTAACTTATTCTGTCTATTAGTATTTTGGTTTCTTGAAGCCAGCAGACTTCAATGTTATAACTATCAGCGTCCCGAGCCAAAATCCTGCTTTTGTCTACGACTCCACTAACATTAACTGCCCCGCTGGTGAAATATTTACATGCAATCCGAGATTTTTATAAAATTTTAAATAAGTCGTCAACTGTTAACGGTTGACAAATCAAGAAGTCAATACCTTCTCTGCCAATATACATACTGAAAAAATATTAATAAAATCACAGCAAGCATATCGCTCGTTGAGTATCAAGAATATATTATGGACACCACTCATATATTAAAATCGCTCTCAGTCGATTATGTTTAATAAAAATTGTAACAAAAAAAAAATGCTTTGCTTCAGGTCTCAGGTAAACGACTTGGTAAGTTATTGTATCAGACCGCAAATCAGAAAACTGGAAGTAAAAATGTTTCAATTGTGTGAAGGGGGACGTCTAAACCACTTCAGATGGGAATAATTTAGGCTTGCCTCAATAAAATATACAAAAAAATGAAAAATAGATCGATGAAATGTGGGACATTGTGCACGCGCCTTGTGTTCTGCAATTAAAATAAATATTAGGAGGGTAGAACAGCAGACATCTTTGATGATAACAATAATTAAATATTCTGGAATCTTCATTTTGACATTGAAATCTCTCTGGATAGTGCGATAAACACATAAAAAATGTTACAAAAGTTGAATTGTATTGGATGTTAGCTCACGGCTACATCACGTTGTAAAAACTGGTTGCCATAAGATCACCGAAGTTAAGCAACGTTGAACCTTGTCAGTACGTCGATGGGTAACCATGCTGTATGTAAGGACGATGTAATACATAAGAAATTTTAATAAGAGAATCGAATTCTAATTCCTATTGTGTTCGTTATATTCACTTACGCGCAAATATCCTTGGGGATCTTCTCTCCACGCTATGGCTTTATTAGTAAGACTTGTATCACTAAAGCATTATTATTGCCAAAAAGGAAATTTCTTACAATATAAAAAATATATTAGGGCTTTAAATAACTTGAAGTGTATTGCTAAACAGTAACAAAGGAATCAATCAATCTATTCACTCTTGATTTACTCTCTGAAGATGTTTTAGTAAATAAAACGTATTATATTATCAGACATCTTACATTGAAAATATATTTAGATTCATTCAGTTTCTTAGTAAATTGAAAAGGAATAAAAAGGTGGATGATTGTTAGATTCGTTAAGAACACTTCAGCCAGTTAAATGCCATACGTGATAAATTATTTGGGCAATCGAGTCTTTTATTATTCATGACCGACTAGGCAGAGGATTTTCCCGCAGCAGGTTGTCATCGATAGATTGGTTGCCAACCAAAGCTATAAGAACAAGTTTTTCCTGCAATTCAACACATAGATGGTGGGGAGGGGACGAAGATGGACTCATACTTTTCCCAAGAGTATTTGCAAGTAAGTGATTGTAATGAAATAACTAGGAGTTGAAGTTGACTCTTCAATTTCTACTTTCCATGCTGCTACTCATTAGGCCACATCACAACACTTAGTTCATCTAATTCAATTCTTACTAGTAAAAAGAAAGTTATTATGAACTCGTGGGTGTGGCTATTTCAGTTTAATTATACTACATTTGAAAAATCTTGTTATTATATGAAGAAAGATTATACTCAACGTAAATAATCTTTCTTCAGTTCCAATGAAACATTCAAACAACTTGTCTAATTCATTCTTTAATTTTCTTTTTGGTTTTGCCAGTCCAGTATCTTTCTTATAAATTTCCTTCAAGATCAGGTAAGTGATTTTCTTGCTTTATTCTGTTCTACATAGCGTTAAGCGACAAGCTGAAACTAATATGAGTGATTATAATCAATTCGCGTAGTTATGTTACCGACAAAATTTGTCTGCAAACGGACACGGAAGATAGTATTATAAAATTACGCAAAAGGATTCGACGAAAGCTATTGAGATTTATCTCAGATGATTGGGCTATGATTGTCATTATTTGTCTGAAGCAGCCTCAGTAAATATCTAATATTTTGTTTTCTTTCTGTATCTATTATAAACACTGCAGGAATTACTTTCTGCAAACGTGTATTCACAGAGTTGAACGATCATCTGACTAAATTTTTCTATCTTTATATTTTTATCTTTATCTAAATATTGGACGATCATTTTTAGTTGAACGATTATCCATTAACAGATTTATTATTATTATCATTATTATTATTATTATTATTATTATTATTTATTATTATTATTATTATTTTCTAAGCTTAGAGAGATCAGTATCCCGAAAACTAGTCATATCTGTTAAAATTTGAAATAATCGGCCGATAAATCCTTTAAGAATTTTCATATTTAGAGCAAAAGATTATTCAATAACGGTGTTAGGGTTTATAGCTGTAGAGAGTGTAGATATGGAGATCAATTTTGCAACGTGTCAATCAAACGCACGCGCGGGCATACAGACCGCAGGCATACATGCACACACAAACGTTTTAAACATTTGTTATAGGATACCCGTATTTGAGTTAGACGCTTAGTCTTCTTAACCCACTAAAATAGCCATTGAAGTAATAAAAATATGTCGGATTAATCCATTATATATATATATATATATATATATATATATATATATATATATATATATATGTGTGTGTGTGTGTGTGTGTGTGTGTGTGTGTGTGTGTGTGTGTGTGTGTATATTGAGGTCAAAAACCAAGCGGCGTCACACCTCAACCCTGACCGCAATCCTCAGGCAGTGAACGTAATCTTTACGGTTGCGGATTGTGTTTAAACTATTTCGTTATATATATATATATATATATATATATATATATATATATATATATATATATATATATATATATTGGGCTGTCGACTCACAAAGTCAGTATGACCATCACTGACATGTCCAGTCCATTAGTTATACTCCCTCCGACATAACTGCATTGCTGGTATTTTTACTATAAAATATATTTTTATTCTTTGCTAGTGTTATAATTTTTGTTTGGGGGTTCGCTATTTACCCATAGCTGGGACCCTATCATGTGCTCCCACTCCAGCTCAGGATATATCTGGGAAGAACAGCAATTAAGGCGTGGTTCTACACTCATCAAAATCTCCAATTTCCCGATCAGATAGTCTAACGCCATACCCAATATTGTGTTTAGGAGAAAGCACAAAAAGACAAAATGTTCTAAGTGCTACAAAGGAGAGGAAATTGTGGAGAACCATGATCGCCAATGTTCTGAAAGAATAGAAAATTTGCATATGAAACGCATCTTTTTCTAAAATGGCTTAAAAATTTATTCATTATCTACCGTTAAACACAGTGGGAAAATGTAGCATACCAATTCTAGTAAGCAATTTTCTTCATTTCTTTCTCCTTGCATGATTTCTACAATTCGAAATGCTCGTGTGTGGTAACATGCATCCATATCTTTATTTCTATTGGTATAATATGTTAAATTCTTGGGTGGGCCAACTTCCTTACAATGAAATTCAGTATTTGAAAATTAGCGGTTTACATACAACAAACTGACAATTGATAGACCAACATAGGCAGGCATGATAATGCTGGAAATATTTTAATTACGCTTTCGCTTTGTTAAGCAAGGCTAAGAATCAGATTTCTGTGGAGCCTATCATGATTTGCTGGTTATAAGAGTTATTTAACATGAAGCACACATGTTTTTAGCAAGCATCATTTTTACTTTTACATTTTGGGGGATTTAATTAGCATCTTATATTACTATAATGTTTTGCTTAAATTAGGGCTTACAGGGAAATTGTTATAGTTATATAAATACCTTTGTTCTGTGATGTAACTGGTGTATATTTCATATCAATACCAGTCATTGGAGTTATAACCCCGGGGAAAGATCAGGATCTCGAATGAAAAAAATTATCATCCAATTGACAAAATTCTGTTCCTATTTACCATAATCGAGTTTTGGACTAAAAAATCTTAGCTTAGCGAATATCTAACAAAATTCCCAACAGAACTAGTGTTAAAATATAAGATTCAAATCTCGTAAAGAAAATTAAAAATTAAAGAAGGCTGGAAGAAAAGACCAACTATAAGAAATATATTGTAATGAGAAAGAGAAATACCCGAAGATGCGATTTACGAAATTAAGATGTCAAAATCAAACAAGTACAGGTTTATATATCAGGGAAGTCCTGTAAGTGTTGACGGAAAATATGACAGCGAAATGTGAAGGCGCATTAGAGTAAAAAAAAATGACTTCTAAAATCTAAACAAAGTATAAAGAAACAGAAAAATTGCCACAGAAAGGAAGAAAGGAATTCTGAATTAGTATGCAATATCAATCCTTCTATATGGCAGTGATTGTTGGTCATTTTTGTAACAGTTAAAGATAAGTCTTTAATTAACAATGATAAAAAAGAAGGCCTGGAAAATTGGACACTCACAGGACATATCAAAGCCAAGAGGAACAGAAGAAAATAGCAAGTAACCTACCTAACGAACATGTGTAAGTGGATGGCAGAAAAGCATGGTGGAGGGATGGTGAAAAGACTAACATTGCAGAGAATTACGAACGATACGAAGTTGTGGACAAAGACATTCACTCGAGGCCAGAAGGGACAATACACATAGAATAAAATATAGTATAAGAATTAATTCAATAGACAGCTCATCATACATGTCTTACCATTTTAAATAACACGTATAATGCAAAATAAAGACCTCAAAGAGTTATGAGATTCAGCTTTTGATTTCGCCAATTAAAACATCAACTTCTCGCAATATATATATGAGGGAAAATAGAGTTTTGACTGCTACTTGTCTGAAATTCGTACTAAAAAGCGTCAGACATTAATGCTCCGATCCGTGCAAATTTAAGGTAGTTGAGGACATATTAAGTGAGTAAGGCCATTATCACCCTTAATTACGAATGTGTACAACTGTACTCTCACACTTATTAATTTCTTAAAGAAAAGATCCCTCTTGCTCTTACTCTAACACGCTCATTTAATTACAAGTTTACTTCTCAGGAAATGATCATTTAAATTTGCGAAACTGACTTGATACAAAATCTAAAACTTCTCTGAAATTATAATGTATTGAAATATAAAATTTCACTCGGATAAATCAAAACAAATTTAGTCGTATTCAACCTACAATGAGGCAATTCTGAGAGAATTAGAAGGTCTACCAGGATTTATTATTAGTGGCCACAATCTTAACAACGTAAGATATGCAGATAACAGAGTATTGAAAGCAAACACAAAAAAGTAAATTACAAGAACTCGTATAGAAGTTAGTGAAGGAAAGCGATAAGAAGGGACTAAACATTAATTGCAACAAGACAGAATGTTATCAGCATGCAAATGCAAAATCGGTGATGCTAAAATCAAACAAGTAAAACAATTTAAATATCTGAGATGTGTTTTAACAGAGGACGGAAAATGTGACACGAAAGTGAAAGATGCCTTCTAAAAAGCTGAGGAAAGTATTAACAAACAAGAACATTTCGTTAGAAGCAAAGAAAATGTACTGAAATCCTATGTAATATCAGTCCACCTATATGACAGGTAATGCTGGACAATCCTATCACAGACGAAGAAGAGCCTTAAAACAACAGAAATGTGATTCTGCAAAAGGATACCATGAACATGTGAGAAACGGCGACGTTTTAGAGAAAATGGAAACAAAATAGACACGTATATTTAACAGCAGGAAGATAAACTTGAAATTTTTATTGGACATAATGAAGAAAGATGGCTAGGAAAATTTGATACTCACAGGACAGATTGAAAGATAGAGGGACTGAAGAAAACAAGGCATTGCCTACCTTGCTAGCTTGAGTAAATGTATGACACAACGGGATTTAGGAGTGATAACAAAAATACAAAATTTATTAGCAGATACAAAAGATAGAAAATTGTGGAGAGCCAAGATCACCAAACTCCTCAAGGTACATGACATATAGAAGAGGAATATTCTCATCTAACACGTCACAACGTTGTAGATATCTTGTGTTTGATTTGGAGGAGTTATGACAATGTATTGACATTAGTGTTATGTTGAAAGCACCTATTTCCCTGACCCCAAATTGACAGCTCATACTCAACGTTGTCACAATGTTATGGTAACTTTGCGAAGTCCTAGTCAGTTATAATATCAGGATAATTTTCCTTCGCTTAAAAGTATGTAAAGAAAGTATAAAATGACTTTTTTTCCAATCGAGAATCGCTAATAAAGATGAAGAATGCACGTCCTATTACGTTCATTGATTTTATCATTTTTTGCTAATGACATTTTAAAGGAAATGTATTTCCAACCTTACCGTCTACGAAAAACGTTTTTGCAATCACTGTGTAAAGTTGCAGAAACGTGCCAGCAACGTCGTCTGTTAGCTAGGACGGGCCGTCTTTTCTCGCCATTTAAAAGAATTAACGTTTATATTATATTTCTTCATTCAAATAAATTAAATTCTAGACTAATCCTACCTCCTCCTCAGATTTTTCCAACCCTCGCGTATTTAAACGCCATAACATTTCCATCGTCAACACCCTGCTTATTCTAACAGCAACATTTTATTCGATATCCGAAACTTTTGTTTTTTCTCGCTATGGAGGTTACGATGATCTTCCTTTTGGGCTCGGCACAGATGAACGTCGGGTATATGATATCATTTTGGCCCCTGCTTCGCCATATCTATAAACTATACTCCGTTTGTAATGTTGACGGTGACTGAATACATTATTTGGTACACCCTTCATTATTTACCGTATCCCCTCAAGACATAAGCGATCATGGCTCTCAAAAATTTTCCCTCCTTCGTAGCTCTTAATTAATTTTGTCTTTTTGTTATTACTTCTCAAACTTGTCCCGCGATACATTTAAAGCTCACCAGGTATGTTATGTGATGTTTTCCTCTGTCCCTTTTTTCTCTCCTGTGGATATGCATTGCAAGAACTCCTTCACAATGCACACAATAATTTTCAATTATTTCTTTCCAATGTTAAGTAAAACTTTCATTTTCGTTTCCATTTTATCATCCTTGCTGCTCACATTTTCGTTCCATGTTATTTTCAGCATCCCCCTGTGGATCCACATTTCTGTTGCTTCCAGTCTTGTCTTCAATTTTGAGATCGTTTAGCATTAACTGCCATATAGGAGTGCAGACATCATGTAACAATTCCGTACTCTTTTCTTTGTCCCTAGCGAAGTGTTTCTGTCTTTTAAATCTCTGCTTAGCTTTTGGAAGTCATCTTTCGCTATCTCGATGCATGTTAGTGCCTCTCTTTCCATCCTTTCTTAGAACACTTCCAAGATATTTAAGAGTTTGTACTTGTTTGATTTTGGCATCTCCGATTTGTAATTTGTATTTTGGGATCATCCTTTTGCTAACAGCAGTTTTTTTCTGTGTATGCTCTACTTTGCAAAAAAAAAAAAAAATTCATGTACCGTATGAAACTTTAAAATGAGATAGTATTATGTTTCATTAATGAAAATTGTCGTTCCATTTAAAATTTTACTAAAATTCATTAAACTAACCAGATTAGCATGTTGATTAGGATGTAGTGCGTGATCCGAATACGTATATGTATTTTGACTAACTTTGGGTCTCTAACTAAAAGTATATATATATATATATATATATATATATATATATATATATATATATCAGAATTTTTTTTTTTTCTTTTAGACGCCGAGGCCCTTCAAGGCGTGGTCAGTCATGGATCTGCAAACCATCCTGTCTTTTTTAGTTTTAGGTAAGTTTGACTCTCCTGGTTCTTCTACTCTCTGTTTTGCCAACCATTTCACGTGCTCGTTAGGTAGATTATAAACTGCTTTCTTCTGTCCCTCTTGCCTTCAATCTGTTCCGTGTCGAATCCCCCATTCATTATTATGTGCCCTAAAAATGTTTACTGTCCATGATTCGAAGCAAAATTTTATATGTGAATTAACTTTAAGCCTCTAATTTTTTTTCTGTTTCTTTCAGATTGAACAACGTAAGTCTTTGGCAATTTTAACAATCAAACAATATATTAAAGTTATCGAAGCCTATTACAAAAATAGACGTTCAAACAGAAATCCAATGTGAAGTTCCCAGGTCGTATCACCTCTCGAAACAGCGAAATCATTTGGCCACCACGATCGTGCGACTTGCCACCTTTAGATTTCTTCATTTAGGGGTCATCTCAAAAGTAAGGTATATGCTAACAACAATTCAACAGCTGAAGGAACAGATAATAAGGCATATTGGTGAGATAGAGACGTCTTCAAAAATGTTGACCATCGAGTGAAGGTGTGCCGCCGAAGCCTTGGCGGACGTATCGTCGATATTATTTTTCACACATAATTGCCACGACTTAAATAACATGATCAAATAAATTTTCACCAATCACACTGATTTATTTACTGCTGACTTTGATACATGTAAATGAAACACTCTTTATAAATACTCGTTTTGTTTCCATTTCCCATAAAACTTCGTCTTTGCTTACATATTTCAGTCCATGGAATTCTCAGCATCCACATTTCTGTTGCCTCGTTTCTACTTTATCTTTGATGATACTGTTCATCATTCAGTGCCATATATGAAAACAGATATTACATAAGAGATTTTGCAATCTACTTTGGTTCTAACGAATTTTTCCAGTTTTATAATACTTTGCATCATTCTCTCTCCCAATGCACCTTCGGATTTTGTTGACATATTTTCGGTCCTCTGATAAAACACTTCCTAGATATTGACATTTTTATCTTTGCTTGATCCTGACAGATCCAATTCGTAGTTCATACCTTGCCAACAACCATGAATTTTATCTTCTTAAAATTGATGTGTAGTCCTTTCTTCTCCTTTCTTTTAAAATCTTCCCTAGGAGTTCCTGTAGTTTCTTGTCTGATATCATCTCTGTGTCATCTGTATATATAATGTTTTAAAGAGTGTAGATGTCAATAATAAATCCTGGTAGGACTTCTAATTCTTTCAAGATCGCCTCACGGATAAGGTTGAATAAGTTGGATCAGAATACTTATGGCCATTACGATTCTTGCGTATTTATTGAATACATTTTCTATCCGTTTGCAGGAGGTTTGCTCCCAGTATAAGTTCTGGATTATTCTAATATCTTTTCCAAATAAATCGAGCTTCCCTAGCAGTTCAAAATTTCTTTGTGTTATACTTTATAAAATGCGTTTGCATTATCTATAAAACATCTGCATACAATTTTCTGCTCTTTAATTAAAAATAACTTCAGCGAATTTTTCCCTTTACACAGGTATTAATTAAGACTGTTACAAAATAAAACGGCTCACTTTAAACCTTTTAACGACAAAAACAACGAAAATGGGCAGCACATACAATTAGAAGGGAAAATATTTCTGATAGGAAACTTTTATCAAAGCTAGAAAGAGCAATAGCAGATAGTAGACCTGAATAGTATAATATACTGAATAAGGATTTAATAAAACAATTTTTGTAAACTTCAATTGACAGTAACGCTAACTGATCGACCAATCAAAGCCTAACGTTTCCTACATTACCATATAAATGCATTGTTAATGATTTTAATATTAGAATATATTGTAAATGATTCTACTGTATTTAGGCAATGCAAATTAATTTATTACTCGAAATCATTATTAATGATTTTTATGGGAATTAATATTAGAAATATATAGAAATATATAAAGCAGAGCCTTTCAGAAATTTAATTTCCCGAAAAAAAAGCTTTTAAGTAAAACGTTTACATGAATTTCAACCGACAGTAAAGCTAATAATTTGGCCAATGAATGCCGAATGTTTCCTACGTGGAAACGGTTAACTTCACTATTACCATTAGTAAAAAAACAAATTATGTTCACTCCATTATTAAATTATGGGACTCATGTTTCAACACACTAACATTATTTCGATGTATTTCTCTTACTAAGAAATGAAATTTGTTAGCTAAAATATTATGTTCGCATAAAATGTCGTATCAATTACTGTAATGAGATATGCATATAAATGTCCATCGCTTGACTTCCGGGCTGCGGAACAAGATACTGTGCTATTTTTTCTCGTCATTTAATTTGAGATCATCTTACTATTTGGCACGTCAAGAACGAACGTCGGACAGACTCCGTTTATAATCATGGTAGGGAGAGACACAATAAAGATTCTGGCTGCGTACACCAGCAACCCCGATTTAAAACTGCTAATTGATACTCGCAAGCGAAAAACATTAAGTTCACAGAAGCTCGCTATACGAAGATATTCCGAGCTGAATTTCTCGTTTGACGTAGCTGTGAAAGAATTTACTTGAAGCTGTCAACGAGATAAAAGGTAAAATGTAAAATACGAAAATATATAGATTCGACAGGAAAGATAATGTTGAAAATATTCTCGTTCTTGTCTCTTATCAACGGAGAATAAGATTGATAGGACAAAGAAAAGGGTAGACTATTTATTTAGGTAAATCAAAATAGAGGGAAGAGAGAGAAGAAACTAAATTTACTCGAAGATGAGATTTTAACCCTATGTGCCTTTAAGAGTCTGCCATTGTATCATTAAGTGTCTTAAGAATAAAATATTTTCGTTACGGTCAAGACAAAAAACATAATTCCCGGGTCATGTTTGCCGTGTTGTTCTAACAATGATATGTATCCGTGGTTTCTCATGTATATTCTTCTACGAGTATTTATCTTAAGCAAGGGGAATTTCACTACAAACAGTGAAAAAAGAACTGAATAAATACGCAATGTCTAACTCTTTTGGCTTTAATCAATTCACCCCAAGCAAAATGATAATGCCACTAAGATGCAAAGAGCTACAGGAAGTGAAAGAGAATGAGAAAATTTTAGAAATAAATCTGAAAATCAGTGGATAAAGGCGCTGGATAGATCCAGTTACAGGACCCAAAAAGTGTGATTTCAATACCCGATTAAGGCAGTGGAGAACTTGGAGAGGGAATATTACCAGGAGATAACTGATAACTGACATCCATTAAACATGACACGTGGAGCTAGAACAGTCTACCCTAGTGAGCGAAATAAAGGGTTCAGTTCGACATTCCAACCACCTGAAGAAGGTCGGAGCGTGCAACGGCCGAAACGTTGTAATAAATATGGCGACAAAGATGAGGAAAATAGTCCGAATTATGTAAATAGTGTACATAATACATCATCTCAGACATATGGACAGATACTAAAAATAATTGTTCGAAAGACCGAGGAGGAGTCTGAACCGGGAGATAGGCGAACCTATCTACTCACTTATTGATGAATAAATTCCTCGCGGATAGAGAAGAGACAAGAAGCGACCTGGGTTTCGTTCTATACACCGGTGCTCTGAATAACCTGAAGACATATGAGCAACAAGGACGATTTAAGGAAAATAGGAGATAAGTGTCACGAGGGTCGTTCAAAATGTTCTATGTCATAACCAGAAGGAGTTGGAGAAACAAGAGTGTTTTCACTATTTTTCAATATAATCCCTCTTGACATCAATTCCCTTGATCCAATGATGCTTAAGCATCGCGTGTCCTGGGTATGACGATAAACTACATCCGGAAGCAAGGCCTGTGATTGGGAAAATGGAGGTTTTTGACGATCGTGGAACCACTTTTTACTTGCTGTTTTTCCTAGGTTCAATCTGACCGAAGGTCGTGCCACCTATCAAGGTCCCAACTATTGACAAATATTGAAATCCCAAACAAATCACTACA